TATATATATATATATATACGATCCGGGCACATTAGGCCTGACTGACTGCTACTTTTCAGGCATTTTCTCGGGCATTTCCTCTACACTGAAGCATCTGTACATGCGTATTACCAGACTCCTGCTCCATTCTCAAATAAAACGAGGAAGTGGCAGACGCAAAAGCCTGCCGGTATCAACCACATACCGTCCCATTCCGACGCGGATAGTCTCTTAATTGTCTCGCCTGGTCTCCGAGGCTAGACAAGCTGTTCTTCTAGAGACCACACCCATTGAATCAGTCTAAGAACTTAGAGTGGAATTCAGAGCCGTCACTCTCAATAGATCAATAGTATTCACGGACCAGAAAGCAGTCGGTTGGTTTTCATTAGCCACCACCCTTTGCTTTTCTGTCTCCATCTCGGCATCAACTATCCGCACGAAAGCAACGCATACGCCAAAATAAATATTTCTCTTCTAAGAGATAATACGATGGGTACTCCCAACGAGTACTAAGTTATGTTTCAAATAGGAATCCTTTCCAAGGGGTGAGATCACCATATTAAACGAAGAACCATTCCTGGATCCAGACACTGGAATTTTGGTGTATACGGTAGTTTCAAACTGATTAGTTGAATACGCAGTGCAACCGGTAATCCCGTCTGGAGTGGGTGTCTCAAAATCACAATACTGAAACAGAGTGCATCTGTAATATGGTCGCCGGTTAATGTGCCCAGATAATTACTATCAACCACTGGAAAGCCACATGGCAAAATTTTGACAAAAACCGTGAAACAGAAGAGCCGCAAAGAAAATCGCCGTTTGAGAACTTCATAAGCACTCTACGTTCCAACCCCCACCCAAGTGATGGCATCATCAGCGCATGTCAAAATCACCCTTTCATTTGGAAAGGCTCCTTCTTGAGGCGAAAATATTCTCGGCCGGTTGTTGGACCCACAGATAATCAAGGGGAATTCTGAGTCCAACGAAGATCTTTCTACAACTAAGGGTTCGTATTTTCTATAACTAAACACAAACATTTAATAGATATCTCCTTCTGGCTTTACGCCCTTTGGAAGCCACCCGTTTAAAATGCAGGGCCACATAGCTATCTGTGGTTTTGGACGAGATGTCCAAAGGCCGCTTCATTGCGATCCACTTTACATTTTTGCTAATGAAATATGCACATACATTGCGACGGTTCGCTGAACAATAAAATCTTCATCATACTTGGGCACATTCCTTCCACTTATGAATGCCCTTATGAATGCCTCTCCTATGGGAAGGACGATTTCCGTCACCAGCAGTTGGACAACGAAAACCTCACACTCGACTGTGTCTTCGTGCGGATTCCTTGTTTCAGAATAGGCATTACTGGTATCCATCCAAATGGACGCACGTTATTGACAACCTAACCAATACTTAGCGTGGTAGTTGTGAATATGAGATTACAACCTAATAAAGGAAAACCTTCAGTCTTGATGGTCAGGCCACCGTACTCTCGGAAGCACTTCTCTCACTGAGTAGTCTTTCTAACTTTTTTGTAATGCACTACTCAAAAGGTCGTCGAAAACTTCAAAAACTATAAATACTGAATTAGTTCGCAAATGAGGGTATATTCGCTCGTCTTTCTAACCTAATTTGACTAAATTGGGGACCGAGCAGTTTACGGATATTTTTTAATCATTCTTCCTGATGGACAGCGATACTGTATCCCATCTTTTGACTGCATTAACCTAACCCCGCACCGCAGCTCTACTACTCTCCATCAAATTATATTTTTGGTAAATTTTACGCTAATTTCCTCAGCCACCTCATCTCGGAAATACCTGTTGATTTCACCTAATTCCATCACTCGCCTTCGTTTCATGGACATTGCTTTGTTTCGTATATCAAGTCCCCATCTTTCTCACCCGAAAAAAGGCACTTTAAAATTCTTGGGCTGTCGTGGTACAGGTCTCAAGTTGAATGAAAGTAAATATAAATATCTTTAGATGTCAGGACATGGTGTGGTAATCAGTACGCGTGATTTTTTACATTCCTTGAGACACCGTCACGTGAGGTCGACTACTTTTCAGATTTCCGCATTCCAATTGAGTCCACTTTTGGTCAATCAGAGCGCGCCTTGATGTTGGGCCATCAGATGACCCGGTCTTCTGGTCATTCGCGTGATGTTTAGGAGTCTTGGACGTAGCGGTACCTAACCGCGAGCGTGAAAGCGGTTTTGGTGCGGGATGTCGCCTAACAATCTGAGGATCCGGATTTTTTTCCCCCTATTCTAACACATAAACGCCTACAATATTATCCGCGCAAACCGGCCTGATGCTTTCGCAGTGGTGATGATGCATCGCTTCTCATATAGCTCTTCAGATCATGTGAAAATAGGTAGCACAAGCAGTCATTAGCAGTGCCGTAGCATGCCCCTTCACTACAGACATTCCAACAAGCAAAAAAAACTCGGTTTTTTAACCTGTCCTTTTTCTCTCTCTGTCCAGCGAACTACGTGAAATCTTCACTACACTACGCTGTCTGTTCGAGCAAACACTGGGTCCCCAAATCGCGATCCAGTTGGTCTCCAGTTGTTTATTTCTCCGATTCATTTGTCCAGCCATACACGGTCCTGTACTGTTTGGGCTTACTCCTTCAATCCCCGAATCAGCCAGGGTATCCCGAAACCTCACTCTCTTAGCAAAGGTATTGCAAAATCTGGCCAATATGGTCCCTTTTGAAGAGAAGGAGATTCACATGAAGATTTTCAACCCGTTCATGGAGAAAGAAATCCCCGTCATGCGAAAATTTTTGGAATCTATTTCCTCGGCAGACCTAGATGACGATGAGTCCTCATACAGTGACTGTCATCACTACATTGACTTAGGCTACGAGTTTGCCAAGCTGTCATCGGTTTTATCGAGATACGTAAAGGAAGAGGTGGTAAGCTTTCCCGTTTTACACCACAAGATGTTTCAAATTCATTATTACCTATTATCCTATCCACTGTTCCGATATATCCATATATCCTTGTCATTAGTGGCCATTTTTAACCTCAAGGGTTTCTTGAACCTAAATTTTATTCTTGATGCCAGCTGAAGGATCAAGCCAGACAATAAAGTATGCAGGTGTTGCACGTTACAATTACTCATCTTCCGTTACTCCGTGTCGGAGAACGAATTTGGATGGGCTTCCCTGGCTTCCAATAAATGATGTTAATAACCGGATCCGCAAATTCTACCTATAAGGCATCGATACTGTATCCCATCTTTTGACTGCATTAACCTAACCCCGCACCGCAGCTCTACTACTCTCCATCAAATTATATTTTTGGTAAATTTTACGCTAATTTCCTCAGCCACCTCATCTCGGAAATACCTGTTGATTTCACCTAATTCCATCACTCGCCTTCGTTTCATGGACATTGCTTTGTTTCGTATATCAAGTCCCCATCTTTCTCACCCGAAAAAAGGCACTTTAAAATTCTTGGGCTGTCGTGGTACAGGTCTCAAGTTGAATGAAAGTAAATATAAATATCTTTAGATGTCAGGACATGGTGTGGTAATCAGTACGCGTGATTTTTTACATTCCTTGAGACACCGTCACGTGAGGTCGACTACTTTTCAGATTTCCGCATTCCAATTGAGTCCACTTTTGGTCAATCAGAGCGCGCCTTGATGTTGGGCCATCAGATGACCCGGTCTTCTGGTCATTCGCGTGATGTTTAGGAGTCTTGGACGTAGCGGTACCTAACCGCGAGCGTGAAAGCGGTTTTGGTGCGGGATGTCGCCTAACAATCTGAGGATCCGGATTTTTTTCCCCCTATTCTAACACATAAACGCCTACAATATTATCCGCGCAAACCGGCCTGATGCTTTCGCAGTGGTGATGATGCATCGCTTCTCATATAGCTCTTCAGATCATGTGAAAATAGGTAGCACAAGCAGTCATTAGCAGTGCCGTAGCATGCCCCTTCACTACAGACATTCCAACAAGCAAAAAAAACTCGGTTTTTTAACCTGTCCTTTTTCTCTCTCTGTCCAGCGAACTACGTGAAATCTTCACTACACTACGCTGTCTGTTCGAGCAAACACTGGGTCCCCAAATCGCGATCCAGTTGGTCTCCAGTTGTTTATTTCTCCGATTCATTTGTCCAGCCATACACGGTCCTGTACTGTTTGGGCTTACTCCTTCAATCCCCGAATCAGCCAGGGTATCCCGAAACCTCACTCTCTTAGCAAAGGTATTGCAAAATCTGGCCAATATGGTCCCTTTTGAAGAGAAGGAGATTCACATGAAGATTTTCAACCCGTTCATGGAGAAAGAAATCCCCGTCATGCGAAAATTTTTGGAATCTATTTCCTCGGCAGACCTAGATGACGATGAGTCCTCATACAGTGACTGTCATCACTACATTGACTTAGGCTACGAGTTTGCCAAGCTGTCATCGGTTTTATCGAGATACGTAAAGGAAGAGGTGGTAAGCTTTCCCGTTTTACACCACAAGATGTTTCAAATTCATTATTACCTATTATCCTATCCACTGTTCCGATATATCCATATATCCTTGTCATTAGTGGCCATTTTTAACCTCAAGGGTTTCTTGCACCTAAATTTTGTTCTTGATCCCAGCTGAAGGATCAAGCCAGACAATAAAGTATGCAGGTGTTGCACGTTACAATTACTCATCTTCCGTTACTCCGTGTCGGAGAACGAATTTGGATGGGCTTCCCTGGCTTCCAATAAATGATGTTAATAACCGGATCCGCAAATTCTACCTATAAGGCATCTTATGGTAACAAAGATGATAAGGAAGGCAAAAGTCGAAACGTCCCACTAATCACCAGGACCCTAACGACCCTCTAGCAAGTGTGAAACCCGCTAGAACTTCTCCCAAGAGCCAGAGAAGAAGAACTGAAGTTTCGTTTCTGCATGACTCTTTCTGGAACAATAGTACCGTTTATCCGGACGGTATCCAGTTTGAAAGTGTCCACGTCGGTTTCGAATCCGAGTGACTAGAACAGCTGTCTAATATTGTCTTAACTAATCAGCCACATATTTGCATACTGTCGCCCACTGACTCATCATACAACTTCACACCAACTGGAATTATATTTTACGATCTGGGACCTTATAGTTGTAGCACGTCGAACAGCAGACACAAAACCAATTCAGTTAGACACCAGCGTCTGTATAAATAGGGGAAAATTACAAACTATTTTCTCCCCCTTGTAGATTTGTTTTCAAAGATAGAAAGTGCTGGTACTTAGATTGGTATCAGAGGAGTCAGTAGCATGATGTCCCTATTTTATCCAAGTAATCTGCACTGCCTGCGATCGAACCATTCGTATCCCATACAGGGAACTCATTTTATATGATGTTTACCTCATTTGGTCAACTAAATGTCGGAATAAATAGAAATAATAATATTTGTGATAATCTCATAGCATAGCTTTTGCTCAGATTAGATATTCCAGCACCAAAGCACTATAGACATGCTTGTATTTCTTACCGAAGTTGCTAGGTACAATGAGGATGCTCTTCACAAGGGTCAGTAGGTTGCAGAAGGCCCTAAAGACCTTCATTTCTACATCGCTCTTTTCCTACTAGGAAGGTTGCGTTTGGGATTTCTCCGAGTGAATTCTCCTGTAGCTTTTCTGTACAATTATACTGGTGAGTGCTAGAGAGACTGTCTCTTCATATTCAAAGTTTAATCCTAACTAGCTTGATATATATATATATATATATATATATATATATATGCACCTTCAGGACCACATGTATCTGAAATTCCCACCGGATCACCCGTTTTATAAGCAGAGAGAAAGATTACTACGTCTTCACAAATATTTCTTTACGGTTAAATGTCCCTTTATCTCTTCATCTTCACCCATAGGTTCCTCCGTTTCATGATCCGTAACTAAAACTTCATGGAAATTTTTCTACTGCCTCGCTGATTCCTCACAAGACCAGGAGATTCACTTCATATGATACTCGTCCAAGCTGCGAAGGTTGCACAGTCATTGACACTTCAGATTTATATTAGCTGGTACGGTATCATGAAACGCACTGGCTGGCACACTTTGGCGACCTGCGGGATATATTGTTGTCTAGTATAACATATAGGCTTACTGGACAACCAAACATTACCACAAGTTTCGATGGCCCAATCAAATATCGTGAATCAGGTGACTCCGTTCACACACCCACAATGAGGGTAGTTGTTTGGGTCCACCGCCTTTACGACCGTAGGTAAGCCAAGTCGGCAAGCGGTAGTCGAGATTTATCCCAACCGGTATTTGGAGATATGTTTGACTTGAAACAAATCAGTCAGTATAGCGGTTAGCCGACGAAGCAGGGTTAGATTTGTCAGTTTCCTAGTGCCAGAGTGGTGAAAATATTTCCTACTCAGTTCATTGATTCAGTGTGAGCCATCGAATGCGAATCCCAGCTATCAGACCTCCAAAGCATTTATCATGTTTTCCGTGCTGGAAGTGGTAGGTGAGCTTGATTGTGAATTGCAAAGCCCAGGTACCACAAGCGCCTGCGTTGACATAGAGCTCTGGGATAACAGATTTCGATAGCTGCAAACAGCTTGAGTCCAAAGGGATAGTCTGACCCATGAGTTGTTGACACCGGCCCTGACGATCGACACAACTCAGTGAAAGTGATAGTGAGTATCGAAGTAATACACTACTCATAGGGTTGCTGAAAGCTCTCCGACTGCCCACGACCGGTTTCTTGGGACTCATCAGGTAGACGCAGTCGTCGAGTTTCTGTCAACCCTACGTTCTACTTGATCCCAAATCGCACGAAATTACAAAACAATGCTAAATTCCGAAAGTTCGCAGTTGCTTGTGCACGATTTCTACAAGATAACAGACTGATAATAATTGACTGCGGAAGAAAGTCTACCCATTGGGAAAGGCTAAAAGCATAACTTTCAACCCATGGCCTATGCTCACAGGGATTATTGTATGATAAATCACTCAAATTCCTTTACTTTACTCATATAAGGATCATACCACATTCCCACAAAATTCTCTATAGTTGAATAAAGTTTTCGTTGAAATAAACCGCGTAGCTAATGGGTGGTAATATATCTTTTGGTTGTTCTATCGGTAAATAGCATGCCCCGCAAAATCGTTATCATTAGGAAGAAAAACGCAACCTAGCCAAGGTCGTGAAATGCAGATAATATTACAAAAAAAATTTGCAAACTGTATAGCTAAGCAAACTGTCTAGGTCAATGTGCGGCCGGGAAAATCTGGCCCACTGGATACGGAAGGCACTAGGTTAGGACTGTGTCAATTATTCTTTTCTGACTTTTAACAGAAAGCGCATGTGTGTCGTTTTACCTACCGTTCTTTGAACCATCCGGTGGTTAATAACACGGTAGTATTGATGAATTCTGCAAAACTTGTCGTGGTTTATTTGCCCTTGTCTTGTTGTTCTAGGTTCCGGATGAACTGTCCAGATTGCCAGATATACTAAAGTTCATACACGAACATACTAACGACACCGTGTTATCTTCCTGGACTCCCGATATGGTCTCCTGCCGCCGATTTACAAACTATGTTGATGCACCTAGTCAAGAACAACCACTGTCCCAATTCCGAAGAAAGTTCACTAGTACCGACAGTATACTCACAAATCCACACCTGAGCAATTTTGACGCTAAAGAGTTTCTACAGTCCGGATCAGTGGTAAGTTAACCCTAAGTCACGAGCGGACAAAATCGTTGAATATCTCCAGGTTATCATCAGGAAAGTGATTTGTATATTTGTCAAAATATGGTGTAGGATGTAGGTATGCGAACACATTCTTCCCAGTCAAGGTGAATGAAGAACAGTTCCGCAATTTTAAGAGCTTCCACTATTGGACGAAGCACTACAAGAACTTCTGCTTATCTGATGAATTCCAAGAAGGATGAATCCATGCTGCCGAACAGTTTTCATCAATGTTTTGAGGAGCACAGTCCGTCAAGAAAACTTTTGCAAACCTTTAATCTGGTTGGGTACAACACCCAGTTGTGATGCTGGTGGCCGTCTCATCCAATCTTCGCCTCCAGTTCCGCTAACCACAGGAGGCTGCCGCGATACATCTGCGCACATGGCATAAAACTACGAGCACTTTATACTGAATAGGAGAACAGGAATAGCGTTTGTCTTGGGGACAAAGAAGCTTGAACAACGAAAGGTCATTTTATTCAAATAACATGAGAAACACTTTATGAAGAAGGCGAACTGGTGATTGATCATGTGGCTGTTGATCTGTCCGGTGAGCTTGGCATTTGATTTGCAGACGTTCCGTCACCGTTCGGGGAGACTTCACCAGCGCGCAGTTTGGTGGGTGAGCGGTCGTTCGTAGAGACACTCATTAGCTGTTAACTACTGAAAAACTGAGGTCGCACAGAGAAAGCTGGTGATATCATTTGACCCTAGGACAAACATGCTTGTGAATTCTACAGGTTAGTATCCAGCCTCATTGGTGAGCCGCACCATATGTTCTGCTATGTACCTATCAACACAATAGAACCTAATCGTTTATCTTCCATAGGTGGTGACTTCGGGCAGTTAGCTTGTCTAAAGTCATGACTGAATGCAGCAAAAACGACTTCGATCTTAGTTGCATTCACCTAAAAGGTTTAGCGCATTAAATCGAGTGCTTATCCTGTCATCTGTGATACACCACGGGCTGCTTTTGGTTGGGTAGTTGTTTTACAGATGGCATTCTGTGGTGTAAACAATGAGATAGATGTTTTAGAAAGGGAAAGATTTGTCTTCTAGTCACGTATGGTTCACTTTGACGAAGTACCACCCTGACAATAATAGAGTGACGAAGAGGAGACGTTTCTAAAACCCACTGCGTGAACTTAAGTTCACATACTGCAAACGAAAATATTGTGTCCTCGAGTCCGTATCCAAGATGTTTTAATGTCCTGTCTCCTCTGTGTCAACCCGGAAACAAAGTCCTTTAACTATTCAGGCGACATCAGCATCTGAGCAACCGTTAAAGTCATGCGAAAGACTCAGCAAGGGCGCTGACAAGTACCAACTGTTGATCCACTGAGCAAGTGTAGGGAGGATCGGTGCGTTATTTTGGTAAACATGTGAGAAATGAAGAAAAGTCCGCTGCAACTCACTTGTTATTGTGCCCTCTAAACGAAACCTTACGGCTCCCTTTTAATCGCTTTTCGTTTGCACTATTTGTATTCGAAGTCAAGAATATATCGCAGTGCGATTCTTTTTTTGTAACTGCCTACTGCATTTAGTCGAAAAATTCATAGTACGTAGATCCTGGTGCATTCTTCAATCCATGTTTGCCTCAAAGTTTTCTTTTGGATGATTCCGAATAGCAAACTTTCACAGTGAGATAATATCCTATTACTAATATCTTGCTTGAAGAACCCCCGTGAAGATACACCTGAAATAGCTCCACATTATTGTTTTGTGCTACCAGGTGCTACACCTGGTAAAAGGGGTTCAACAAAGCTGTTGCATTGTGATCAGTGACGTTGAGTGTTAAAACTTTGAGGATTTCGAACTGAATTGGACTGGGACTGATTGTTCTTAATCGATGCATCTGACTTTAGTAGGGTTCCTATACGTCGTTAAACGCCGCACAACTGCTCCATAAGATGTAATTGTGTTAGAGCGACTCACATTCACTTTCAGCTGCCTGTCAGCAGCTTTCTATGTTCGTGAAAATGAATATCAGTAAACGAAAGAATTCTCCAAAAGAGCTTCCATTTGGGAGCAAGCAGGATGTTTCTACGCACCGGGACATAAAATAGAATATACTGTACCGGATCGCGTACCTCGAAGGAAACTAAACCTATGGGCCGTGTTGTATGTGTAGCGACAGGGAATGCCTCTATTTGTTCCACAATTCTAAAAATTGATAGCCCAAGGCTTTAACCCATTTTTATACAGGGAACGGAGGCAATTTTATTTAAATGTATCCTGACGGTTTCGCATTTCCGCCTCTACGTTCCACCCTCACTCCTGCTGTTAGCAGTCGTTCAATCCAGAATCGAGCAACATCCCTGCGGAGGACACAGAATCAGTGCTATTCAGCAACGAACCGTCGGTTCCACCCAGCCCACACTTGACCAACGATGCTATATCAACTGATATAATCCAGCAATACACTCAAATACAGAATGCAAACAGTTTCCTCTACACCTGGCCTGAAGTGGTTGATTCACTAGCGGAACAGTCAGGTTCGAAAGTTGAGACAATGGAACAACTGATTTCTCAATACAAAGAACAACTCCGTCAGCTAAACGCGTGTATTGAACAAGTGGAAAATATAAGCCTGACAACGAAACCTGTGAATGTCAAAAAGATCTTCCAAGGTGAAGGATTTGCACTTCCATCCTCTCTAGGTACCGTGCCAGAAACGAGGGCATGTATTGGAGTTAAAAATGGGAGTAGAGATCATGAATTCCCGTGGTCACCGATTAATCGCTGCGGCCAGGACGGTGTGGCAATTACTAATGAAGGAAGTGATTATGAATATGGTGATGATGAAAAGGAAGTTGGTCATGGTCACTGCCGAAGTGAACCTGTGAGGTTCTGTTCAAGCGACCGCGAGGTAGAAAGACAGAAGGTCTTGGCCGAATCTCCTAGCTTAGATCAGCTGTCCGATCGGTGAGTTAACCTAGCGTGCGTTTTTGAAGTACGTCATTACTTTATGCGGAACCCCTCCAAAAGTTTGCGTTTTTTTACTCCATGCTATCCCATTGGAAATTATTACTCATATCAAATTAAGTCAATCTAATAAGGATTTAATGGTTTCAACAGTGTACTGTCATTTTGATTGGCCGGAGTCCTGAACAGCCTCGGACATACAACCTCAAACCCAATTGCCTTTAGGATCCAATCAGTATATCCTATACTGGAATATCCTATACTGGCCTTCAAGTAAAAAGCAGACCCAACGCATAAAATCGCTTAGATGGCGTTTCGTGCTTGCACTACTGTCGTTTGAACGGTCGTCCTGTTGCCTGGGACAATTATTCTTTTGAGCCCACACCAAAGGGGGCTCTGATGGCAGTGGACTCGAGCTTTGCTTTAATTAAAGTTCATCAGCCGTTCTATGGTTTGAAGTCCGGACATCCGATAGGCGATGTGAGCATTAACCCTCCTCCATCATCCACGCTACACGCATCTAACTTTTCACGTCACACCGATATGGTAGGCCTCTTCGGCGGCTTAAACGACGACGCACTAACTGCACTGACTGTATCGGTCGACTGACTTGCCTGTCATGACTCCCCAGCCAGATGATGTCACGGACGGTCAAAAGTTTTTGACTGGTTGTGGATTGTTGCGGAATCTGTGGGATTCTCCGTATTACGGCTAGGCATCAGCCTACTGCACAACAGGACAATCATGTGAAACAGGGCCGTGCGATTACGCCAACACGTCTGAATCACGTCCGATTTCACCATGTGCCGGAGAAGGGTCAAAAAGGACACACGCCCACCCCATGGCCAAGGCACCCCGCACAGACGGCCATCTATGATTAACTGAGACAAAAGGAACAACCACCCGAGAACCGGTGTGGGCGTACAGGAGACACACTGGTTGGTTGACAGCGGATCGATCATCAAATACGGTCACAAATGAATCATAGAAATGGAAAACTGTAATTGCATTAATACGCAGTTTTTCGGGCCGCCTTCTTATCTCCTGACTATAACCCAGTAGCATCAGGGAAGGTGAAGGGATGCGACACTCCGCATGGATTTATTCTTCTGTTGTGCTTCTCTGTAAACCACAGTACTGTCCCTCTTGTGGTCTGGAGAACTTCGAACAAAGAATGGAGAGTATAATGGCCCTGTGCTCCGAATGCTGAGCCCAGTCACATAATCGTATAAGAACGGAATCAATTACGTGACGATTCGTCTGATGGAGTTATTGCTGCATTATCTATAAAAAAAAAGTTGGTGAATAGCACCTCGTCATCACTGGCTAGTGGCAGAAGTTCATGAAGCTCACTTACTAACAGGTTGAATGCAATAAACTGAACGAGTTAGCCGAATCAGACAAAGTTGGTTCACTTCTGATGATAATATGCAGCTTTCTGCGTTCAGAACTACTGACGGAAAAACTACCATACCGATGTTTTATGAGTTTATACGTTGTGTTGTCTACGGGAAATTTATATTAACATGTTTCATTTTCTTCCTTGAGGATGGCAACTGTAAACCTAGTGTGTTCTTATTCGAACGGAAGCATCTGGATATTGTGTCTGGATGATTCTCCGGTTCAGCTGCATCAGTTTCGGTGCATTATCTGCGGCGCCAGGAGAACTTGGTCCAAAAAGGTCATGGGGAGACATTAGTTCATTTCTGGAATTGGTGTGATGGTCAGTTTGCTGGATATATCTGTCGACCACCGCAGTGCGCCGACAGATACTATATAGTAGTGAACATTACTATGACGCCATTCTAACTGTAGTGATTGCTAATTGACTAAATAAGCGTAACACATTAATCCCTTAGGTGGCAACATGCCGACAACTAGGCTAGTCTATACTCAGCCAACCTTTTACACGATGGATATCTGCAATAAACTGGTTTGCCTCTTTTATTTCTTCCTATGGCGCAGGCTGCAAGAACTGAGACACCTGCTAAAGCACGAAAGACATGAACTGGCCCAAGTAGTCGCCGAGAAAACCATGGCCATAAAGGAACAAGAACAATCGATCGAAAGAATGGTATCGGAATTGGACCAGCTAAGGCGACATCCGACACCTGGTGTTGGGCCACTGCATCCCGTAAATTCATCTGCTAGATTGTCCACACCCGGAACGATAAGTCCATCGTCTTCGTTTTCCTCCGGATGCTTTGCGTCCACCCAGTCGGATGATCTGTCTGGCAACCCGAACGAAAGACGACCGTCCGAATCAAACGCATTCTGGTACCAAAAATCTGAGTGTTCGGTTCGAAAACATCATATACAGTACACGGGGAACAAACTGCGATCACAGAGTTTTCATTCCCACTCCTCATCAAACCGAATTAAACTGAATGGTGGCTCAGAAGTGCTAGGAACAACACAGACGGGGCCAAATCTGCTGGATCTGAGTCGTGCCAGTGAAGGCACAGGTATCCCTCTTGGCGATCTCATCATATCTAAACACTCTATTCCAGTTAAAAGAAGAACTTCTGAAACAAAATTAATGCGCAATTAGAACTCTGTCCATTAATTTGCGGCTTTAATTTGCTTTTTTTTCTATATGACAGAACAGCATCGCTTCATCGCATCGCCATTGAAAACACCGCGTGAACTATCATTTATTTGTCTTTCTTTTCACCCTCTGTTTTGCTGTCCATTATGTACAGCCCCCAACACCAAGCTTTGTATATTTAAACCCTCTTTCAAGCGGAACAACAGTTCAAACTGTCATGTTTGTGTTCGTAAAAATCCCGCTTGACCCTCCCGCAAGCCGTCTAGTGCTTACTGTGTTTGAATGCAACACCCCTCAGTTCATGTATATACCTACATATTTTCCATTTTTATGCTTATGGCAAAAGAATGACATAATATTACGACCAGATTTTGTTGGGAAACCATAATAGGAAATCCATTTTTGGTTGAAGTGTACATCAAATTAAGCAACCTATTTCGGACGCCAATGCTGCCCTGATGTGGGTCCCTCAACATTGATCAAGAACATTTTGGAATACGTAATTTGATGATAAAGTTTACTCAGGTGGATATATTTAAGCCGGTAGGATACTTGGGTTACTGAACAAACGTGCATGTTCTGTATGATGTGTTATCAATGTAAGAGACCACGGAACTTCTAACTCTGTTGTGTAATAACTGAGAACACTAAAGGGTAGCGAGCAGCCAGCACATGGGAATCGAACTGCCAGCCGGCCATTTCAAGCTCGAGATTCACCGGGCAACTTGCTATCTTTTACCTAAATCACTCCCAAGTTAGGCTGACCATATCTCTAATAGTGCCCCCATGATGCAAAAGAAAATTGCACTTCAGGTTTTTGAGTTTTACATCAGTGTTGTTTAGGTATTCTCCCTGCAATTCTAGCCCGACTGTTCTGGTCAGCCAAGACGAATGCAGGATTCAGTGTAATCGAGGTATCTGCCCAAGTTGGCAGGCTTAGCGTATCTGAGACTCAAGTAAGAAGTCGACATGGATTGGACTCGTTACGTGCGGACAGTGGCGAACGATTGCTTCAGCTGTGTGCTGATCGCAGGCTGTTTTTATGCAGTACTAACTTTCGAAATAGCCCAAGTAGTCTGGTCACATGGTGTCCTCCAAAGGCATACCGACCACAAACTCAAATCAATAACCTTGCCACTAGCTAACCGTGGTGCGGTCAATAACTGGCTGCCGATCGTTTTTGAAATACATTTGTGGATTCTGACCACGCTTCTCCTTATGATTTCCTGGGCCCAGTAAGGTGCAAACAAATCGCTTTGCAACTAAGAGACTGGCAGATCCGGATATTAGACGAAATTACCAGAATCGTCTCCTAGAGTCACTTCCGAATGCTCCACCATCAGATGTGAACGCATACTGGGCCAAGATTGCCACCTATTTGCATAGCGCAAGGAATTTTGCATGTGGCACGGCCCAACCAGGACCAAGCCAGCACTGGATATCAGAGCGAACCATGAATATCGTGCGCCGTTTTCGTTAACATACTTGTGAGCGCCTGGGTTTGTGGGGAGCTCTTCAAAAGCTTTTCCACAAGCAGTGTTGTTCAACAAGGATTCCAATCACTCCTCTTTTAATTCTGTTGCTGACGAAGTGATGAGGGGAACACTGGAAAGCCTCAGAAACTCCGGTGTTTGGATCCATGTGAATAATTGGTTGATCTGGAATATGCAGACGACACTATTCTCATCTTTGAAGAAGACCGAAGCGCGCATACGACACCAGAAAAGCTAATCAGGGGTCATCCAGTTCTTCTGTATTTGCTTCTCGTCAACAAATTGCGAAATCATGCTGCGAGACGTACAATATTTAAACATTTATCTAAGAATTCTAAGAATAAGGTTGGGAGTTATGGAACCCTACATGTATTTCAGTGGCACGAATCTCAAAGGTCAGGATTGTTTGCCAGTTTGAGCCACATGTGGCATAAAACGGCATTCAATTGGGTCTCGAAGGACGCGTGTAGCAGGCTGCAGTACAGACTTTGTTGCTGCACGACTCCGAGAATCGATCACAAGTTACTTCATTCAAAGAATGCATCCAACGCTATATGCTAGGGTGGCTGCGCCACGTGTCACGCATTCCCATTTACCGTCTGCTGAGAACAGTGTAGTTTGCGGAGAGGCGGAAACCTGGATGTGGACAAAATATGACAAGGATATTACAGAAAGTTTGTGTGCTGTAGATGCTGTTCGTCTTCCCAGATGGGATCCACGTGACCCTCGCTGTGTTTGGCTGGAGGCGCTGAACGATATGGCAGTTAACCGATGTTGGTTGTATAAATGCTGTCAGTTTCTATCCAGATTGTCTAAATGAAGTATGGAAAAACAGTAAGCTAGGCCAATTTTCCCCTCCCAGTCCCATTCCTTTCCCATTATATGCCCTTATTGAAATGACTTGACGGTCCAGCAATGCGGCACTAGTGTCCTTACTTCGCCTTGCTGTCAGTGATGATGATGGCTGATCGAATGAGTGACGCCCGAATCTGTCCAGCTTAACAAAAATATCACCCAATATGAGACGGCATTAGGCAGTTTTTAGAGCCCCATCGCGGTAAATCAGATACTGACATGCAACTTGTGCTTCCTTACACCATTCACGTAGAAAATGTCCAATAAGCTCTATGAGCAGCACACCATTCATAGGATTACTGAAAACTTTTCGTCACCTTTCAACTGATTTTCCCCTTGTTGGTGTTCATCAGGTAAACACAGTCTCTGAATTGCCGTCAACGTGGACTCAAACTGGACCGACTGGACAAGCACTCTAATTTTCACACTAATTCGTTTTTTACAGAAGACTCACCTGAACTGGTCCGCTTCAACTGAACGTGCTGCACCAGGCCTCGAGTCTTCCCAAGTGGAGAAGAACTGTTTGCAATCCAAATGTCAACCTCGCGGTGCAGACCACGAACCAGCTCACACTCGTTTGCCTGAAGCACACTATCTGCCTTCCAGTTTTGCGAGCATTGATGGCAACCATATTTCCCATAGTTCCCATATGGAAACTACATATGCTTTGAAGACTGTTTACCTCCCTGCCTTCATATTTCATGAAAATATGTGACTAACGGACATAGTAGAATGCAGACTCCACATATAAAATTAATGGCGCACCCGACTGGGTTATGCTTAACCCAATCTAACCACTTTCGCTTCTGAATAGGCAATATAATCAGTGACAATCAGCTAAGCGTGAGCGCTTATGCACTTCTTGAACGGTATAGAACCGCACTTTTGGGTGATCAACAATGGCTGCAACATTTGATACATGCATTCAGAGACTCGACGACAACCAGACGTCTGATTATGTGCTTTCGCACACCTGACAAATGTTGATACTTGGAATTGTTCCAAACGAGGACTTACTCATTCTCAAGATTGCTGGAAACATTTGGGTTTATCAAACTGAAGGGAGTAGATACAAATTCCACGACGATCTTTCACTGGCTTCAGTTTGATTTCTGAAATAACTAAACTTTATAATATCATCACCCCCAAGGAAATGCTCGTGCTCACTACAGCAATCATATATGTGGCTTTCTTTTGGAAGTGAGGTGTCCCGAATAACTACGCTTTTGTTATTTATGAATAGTAGTGGTTTATTCATATAACAGCTTAACACGAGACATTCCACTATATCAGAAGCAAGGTTCTTCACACCCAGAAGGAGTCTAGATCGCATGGCATAACAGAAGGTGATAACTGGATTAAGTTACAACAAACAAGTAAGAATCATTCTCCGAATTCAAAGTAGCTCCTTTCTATTCAAACTGGATGCCGTTATGGATATGTACTTGGACTTACGAAGTTGGAATCTCGTGATTCTATCTAGGAGCGACTCAAAACTAGGGCAATGGTAGATTTATTTCACCAACAGGAAGTATCACATGGCACCACCTATGGTATTTCTCGATAAATCAGCTCATTGGTGGTTTGTCCCGCTCTTTTGTAGTGTTGTTGAACACTTACGTAAGATCTTGCTATGAAGGGTTTATCCCATTCGGCTTTCTAATACATAGTTTTTATAGTCTACTATTGATGTGAGAACTATTATCCTGGAATATTTTGAAACGTGGTCTTATACTCTGGACTGCAAAGTACGCAGGAATGTTCAGATACTTGTTGCTGGTTTGTAGATGCACATGCATTTCCAAGTATGGAAACAGACCACTAAATATAGCAGTCAGAGAATGCATTCTGACTCCACCCGCACGCCAAATATTTTGAAAACTCTATGAAAAATTATAAACAGTGGCACGTCAGCAGACACGCGCACATTATTTTCCACTGCAGTGCTGGAACTGCCAGTACATATTTGGTGAGTTAAAATATCCTATTATTGCACCATAAGCCTTACTATCAGGAGCTGTTTACTTAAAGTCCAAAAGTACGAACACCAATAAACTTCTGCGAACAAACTTAAGAAACCTGACCTCTGTTGTGTGAATAATTCTAGACTATTCTCTCACGCCATTCGATACTTTAAAGGTGGCCTTGCAATGTAAGTTATTTTGAAATTCACAGCAGTTTCAGGGGCACAATCAACACGGCCCATTGTGAGAAAAGTCTCTCCTTTTCATGGGATCGGCCAACTCACACTTCTGCACCCGTCAGATAAGGACTGCTTTCAAATTATGACAGCGCTTACTGCAGTTGATCAGTTACACCACAAACTCAGTAGAAAGCGTGAGCGTCCGAAATTTCTTGAGGAAAATAATCACCGCTACGCACGTGTTTAGCTTCCGGGCCACTGAGTAACTGCGGTGAATGCTTTGAATTTGCGCGTAGAATTGACTGTTTCGGGCGAATTTGGTGTGATACATTGGAACACCATCACCGTCGTGTAATTAACGATGAGGTTACAGGGATGAGCCCCCCGGTAAAACCAACTTAATTCGCAAATGAGTCCTTATCCGCACATTCGTACTACATAGTATTTGAGTACAAAAGGATGTCGGGAAAAATCGGGAATAGGTCTAATTATTGAGACCCTAAAAGGGATGGAGCAGATAGTCCTGAATTTTCAATGGTGTTGTGTGCAGTAGCGTATCCAGGAAAACACACTACACATCTCCTGTAATTATCATAACGTCGGGTGTCTGTCTGCTCTGTGGATGACATAGTATGCGTGGAAAGCTAAGTTTCGACGCACGGAATACGGTAGTAAACGCATTCAACGCTCAACTGTTTCGCACAGTTGCTGAGCATCCATCTGTTATGCGAGACAGCTTAGATGTTTGACAAGGTGCATAATGTGGAGCAAGTAAAGTAAACATAGCTTCAGACCTCGACACCAAAATCAGACAGCACTCACTAAAGCTCCTGCCTACTGGATTAACTAATTATAAGCTAC